ACACTCTGAACTATATTAATCTATATGTCTACCCTTATGCAAGTACCACACTGTCTTCATTATTGTAGCTTTATAATAAATTTGAAAATATAGAACTCTGAGACCTCCAATTTTCTCTTTTTTCAATATTGTTTTGACTATTCTGGGTATTTTGGATGTCAAAAAAAAATTGAGATCAGCTTGTCAAGTTCTGAAAAGATATCAGCTGGAACTTTGATATGGGTTACAGTAAATCTGCAGTTCAGTTTGGGAAACATTAATAAGTTAACAATATTAAATCTTCCAATCCATGAACACAGAATATCATTACATTTATTTAAGTCTTCTTTAATTTCTTCAAACAACATTTAAACATTTTTCCAGTGTACATTGCTTGCATTTCTTTGGTTAAATTTATTCTCAACAAAATATTCTTTTGGGGGCATCTGGGTGGCTCAGTCAGTTAAGTGTCCAATTTTGACTCAGGTCATGATCTCTTGGTTGGGGAGTTCAAGCCCCACATCGTTGTGCAGAGCCCACTTTGAATTCTCTGTCTCCCTTTCTCTCTGCCTCTCCATAAATCACACACTCTCTCTCTCTCAAAAACAGATATTTAAAAGAATTATTCTTTTTGGGGGTGCCTGGGTGCTTCAGTCAGTTAAGTCTGACTTTGGCTCAGGTCATGATCTTACCATTAACGAATTCGAGTCCTGCGTCAGTCTCTGGGCTGACTGCTCAGAGCCTGGAGCCTACTTCGGATTCTGTGTGTCCCTCTCTCTCTGCTCTCCTCAACTTATACTCTGTCTCTGTCTCTGTGTCTGTGTCTCAAAAATAAACAAACATTACATTTTTTTTAAAAATTATTTTTTATCCTATTGTAAGTAGAATCACTTTCTTAATTTTCATTTCCAGATACTTCATTGCTAGTACATAGAAATACAACTCATTTTGTATGCTGTTATGCTACTCTGCAACCTTTTTGAATACACTTAATAGTTCTAAAAGCTCTTTTGTGTGTGCATACCTTAGGAATACTATTTACAAGATCATGCTGTCTATGAACATAGATTTACTTCTTAATTCAAATCTAGATGCCTTTTATTTCCTTCTTTCCTTTCCTTTCCTTTCCTGGCCATACCAAGTCCTGGCAATGTTGCAGAGAACGGAACCCTCATACACTGTTGATGGCAGTGAGAAATGGTGTGACCACTATGAAAAACAGTTTAGCACTTTCTTACAATGTTAATTTTATTATTCCTGTAAGTAAATACACCTAAGTATTAGAAAAAGGAACCATATATCCAAGCAAAAACTTACACCTAAATGTTCACCGCAGGTTTATTGGCAAGAACCCAAATAGGAAACAGCACAAATATCCATTATCAGGTGAATAGAGAAAGCAAGTGATGGTATATATACATTATGGAATATTAATTAGTGATAAAAAGGGGGAAATATTTTTTTTAATTTATTTCTAGGAGAGAGAGAGAGAGAGAGACAGCGTGAGCAGGAGGGTCAGAGAGAGAGGGAGTCACAGACTCTGAAACAGGCTCCAGGCTCTGAGCTGGCAGTCAGCACAGAGCCCGACACGGGGCTCGAACCCACGAACCGCGAGATTATGACCTAAGCAAAAGTCGGACGCTTAACCGACTAAGCCACCCAGGCGCCCCCAAAATAAATAAACTTTTAAAAAAGTAACTAAGATGACCAGACTTCTGTAAAGACAGGGAAGTGCTCAGAGTGCCAAGCTCTGAATAATTTTTTAAAAACGTTTATGTATTTATTTTGAGAAAGAGAGAGAGGGAGCACAAGTGGGGTAGGGACAGAGACAGACAGAGAGAGAGAGAGAATCCCAAGCAGGCTCCGTCCTGTCAGCGCAAAGCAAGATGCAGGGCTTGATCCCACAAACCATGAGATCGTAACCTGAGCTGAAATCAAGAGTCAGAACACTTAACCAACTGAGCCATCCAGTCACCCCTATGAAATGTTAACCAAACCCAAGATTACCCATTCATTCCTATTTTTCTGACAATATTTTATTTTATATATTTTAAAGTAACCTCTACACCTAACATGGAGCTTGAATTCACAAACCCTTGGACTCACGACTCCAAGGTCAAGAATTGAAAATCTCCACCAACTGAGCCAGCCAGGTGCCCCTCTAACAATATTTTAAATTTTATTTATTTGTTTGTTTGTTTATTTATTTAAAGAGGGAGAGCAAGGGAAAGAGCATCGCTGAAATCAAGACTCAGATGCTTAACTGACTGAGCCACCCAGGCACCCCTTATTGTCTGCATTTAAATATTTTATAATTAGCATTTGCCTTTTTCCATTTCTTAGTAAAAAAACCTGGAACTTATTAAGTAGATAGTGGCAGGAAAACAATTTTAAAATCTTTAAACCACTAAAACATTAAATAATCAATATTCTATTCTGCAACTACAGACTATTCCATATTTTTCCTATTTTTAAATGAAGTTTTAGGAATTTCAGTTTTTGCATTTTGATTTATGAACAATTTTGAATTCATATTTTTATATGGTATGATGCAGGGGTAGTTATTTTTGTATATGGATGTCTGCTATAGACTGGATGTTTGTGTAACCCCAAAATTCATATATTAAATCCTAACATCCAATGTTATGGTATTTCGAGGTGAGACCTTTAGGAAGTGTTTAGATCATGTGGTGAAGCTGTCGTTAATGGGGTTAGTTCCATTATAAAAGAGACCTGGGTGGCTCAGTCGGTTAAGTGTCCAACTCTTGATTTTGGCTCTGGTCATGATCTCAGCGTTCATGAGTTCAAGCCCCACATCAGGTCTATGCTGACAGTGCAAAGTCTGCTTGGGATTCTCTCTCTCTCCCACTCCCTCTCTTTCGTTATCTCTCTCTCAAAAATAAATAAAACATTAAAAAAAGAAGACCCCAGAAACCTCCTTTGCCCCTTCTGTCGTGTGGAAACATATCTTTATGAACCAGGAATCAGGCCTCGCACCAGATACCAATTTGTCTGTGCCTTGATCTTAGACTTCCCAGATTCCAGAACTGTGAGAAATAAATGTTGTTTAAGCCACACAGTCCATAATATTTGTTATAGCAGTCAGAACTAAGACAACATCTAATTGTTCCAGAATCATTTATTGACAAGTCTCTTTTTCTTCACTGAATTACTTTGGGATCTTTAATTTTTTTTTTAATGTGTACTTATTTTTAAGAGAGAGAGAGCGCGCGAGCGAGTGGGGGAGGGGAAGAGAGAGAGAGAGACACGGAATTCGAAACAGGCTCTAGTCTCCGAGCTGTCAGCACAGAGCCCGACACCGGGCTCGAACTCACGAACTGCTGAGATCATGACCTGAGCCGAAGTTGGACACTTAACCAACTGAGCCACCCAGGTGCCTCACTTTGAGATCTTTTTAAAAAATGAATTGACTATATACACCTATTTCTGGAATGTATGTTTTATTCCATTGATCTGTATGTCTATCTTTATGCCAGTACTATACATAGTCATGATTACTGTAGCTTTATAGTTGGTCTTGAAGTCAGGCAGTGAGTCCTCCAACTTTATTCTTCATTTTCAAAATATTCTGATTATCTTATGTCTTTGCGCTTATCTGATTATCTTTGTGCTTTCCATATAACTTTTGGAATCTGTTTTCTGGGATTTCTATTGAGATGGCATTGAATTTATAGATCAGTTTTAGAGAAAATTTATTTCCATATTAACACTATTAAGTCTTCTAATCCACAAACAATTATCTTTTCAAACTCAGGACTCCTGATTCAAGCATAATTTATTAAGTACGTACGTCAAGGGCTATCAGGCTGAATAAGAAAGTGTTTTGATAAAGGGACATACTGATGTGTTAAAGAAAATTCCTAACGTTGAGAGTTTTTAGTATTTTTCAGAGCACTATTACCGTTTTCAGTTGGAATTGATTTGCAGTGGAAAGGGGGTATTTTTAGCTGGAAACTCAGTTGTGTAACCTTATGTGTGTACAGGCCACTTCATGTTATATAGCAAGCCAGCCCTGAGACTTTTTAGAAAACTCACACTTACATAAGAAAGGTATGTAAGTTTAGATATGGTTTCCCTGGGATACTATAGTGTAGTGTTCAGTTCAAATCACCATCTACTGTCTGGTCCATAGATTAGTCTCAGGACACAGCCCCCTAGTGGATGCCTAATATTCAAGTCCTTTGAAGAGAAAAGAAACTCCAAGCACATATAAAATGTAAAGTGGTAATGACTATGCTAAGAACTATGTAATAAAGGGAAGCCCAAGCAGCTGTGGGGCAGTACCACCTGAGCAGGAACAACTCAGAAGTTGGGAGGGGGTGTATTATCCATACTCCTATCGCAGTCCAGTAGGGGCTTTGGCCCATTGGGGACTACAGGGAATCAGAGGGGCTTTGTCATCATGAGGACTCCATATCAATAGCTGTTAGCAGAGGATATAGGGCAGAGCAGAACAGGAGTGCCCGGCAGATATTCAGAGACAGGTGGCACCCTCTTCTTAACTGCTTGGACTTGTTCCTCGGCACAGGTGAGACCTAACTTCAGCCCTCTCCTGAGTGTCTAACAGTCCAGGGTCCTACTATTGCAAAGGTGCCAGCCCAACATAGCTCACATACTCAGTATCCCATCTAATCCACTCAGTAATCTATAAGGTTAAATTTTATCCCCATTTCACAGACGACAAGAATGACCCTTACAGCACTGGATCTGTTGTTATAACCACCAGGTAGATTTCTCTAGCTATGAATCCCAGAGATAACATGAGTTTTACTTATCATTGTACATTCTGGAAGTCATGGGAATGGACACAATCACAAAGGAATGGCATGGAGGGGTCAGGTGACTGGACTTGTATTTGAGTAGAGATGAGACCTATTTTTGGCTACCATGCAGGAAAAACCATCACCTACTTTTTGGCATACACATTTTCAGAGCTTTCTCTGTGCACAAATCCATTATGCAAACATCTATATTTTTACAAAATGGGCCGATACTGTATATGTGGTTCTGAAAACGGTTTTTTCTTTATTGTTATTTTACAGTGTACCATGAACATCTCTTCCATGCACATGGGTGAAAATCCCCTACTGAAAGACAGAACACTGTAGTTGGATCAAAAGGCTGCTGGTAATGAAGAGTGACATCGAAAGTAAAGTATCAGCTTAAAGTTAAAGCACATAGCCTGGCAAATGCCTGCCAGGGAAAGCAGGGTCAGCAATATTCTCATTAGAGAAATCCGAATTGAAGGCAAAGACATTAAAGATATGGGACATCATGTAAGCCCCTTTGGCCTCTACCTCCACCTCTCATTCCTCTGACACCTCGTTGCCCCCTTGGGGCAAAGGGATCCTGTACATCTCTTTGCATCCAATGAAAACCACCCATTTTCTGCTTTTTCCTTAGCTCTTCCTGAGCCCTGGACACATCTCCACATTCTCTCATCATCTCCTCACTGCCCAAGTGCCTTTCCTGCAAGTCCTCCTGATAGTCCTTGGGGGAATCATCTGTCCCCCTGTCCGTTTTTCTTTTTGCTTTCCTAGGCACATAATCTTCAGCTGGGCGCTTTTCAGCAGCCCGCGACTCACTCTCAGGTGTTGCCAGGGATTCTGGCTTGCCCTCACTGTGTGGTTTTCCCTCGTTTTCAGACTTGCCCTGCTTTTCTTGCTTTCCCTCATCTTCTGGTTGTCCCTTATCATCTGGCTGTCCCTCATTCTGGAGCTTTCCCTCATGCTCTGAATTCTCCTCCACTTCCAGCCTCTCTTCCTCATCTGATTTTTCTTCATCTTCTGTATCTACTTCATCTTCTGGTTTTCCCTCGATTTCCAGCTTTCCTTCATTTTCATTGTAGAGTTTTTCCATGTTGAGATTTCCCCTTCTTTTCCTATATTGGGGGGGTGGGGTGAGAGGAGGAAGAGAAGATAAAGAAGACAAGGGAGACTGAGGGCTTGGAGGTAGAATGGAGGTACTGATTGTATTGGCATCTTTCCCCCTTGTCTGGGTTCCCTTGACCTGGCCCAACCCTCCAAGTGTGCCTTCTCCCCAACCATTGCCCCCACAATTCACCCCACACTTGAGAGCCAACCATTTCCTTGGCAGGCCCTACCGCCTTCTGTACCATCCTTCAGCGTGGCGGGGTGGGTGCAAGATATGTGGTTGGGGGATGGGCACTGGGGCTCTCAAATTCTGCCCAATCTGTGCCCTCTACACCCTCCCCCCTCCGTTCCTGTCCAGTGCCCCTCCCCCCTTTCAGTCACCTGCAGGGATTCTGGATAGGTTCTCCTCCTTTTCTAGTTTTGCAAAGTGCTGGGGACAGACACACAGACCTGCAGACAGACAGGAGACAAGGGCAGCGCCTGTGCTCTCAGTCCACTGAAGTTTCTTTCCTGAATCTGGGCCCTCCTCAAGCAACATTTCTCTCCCCTACCTCCCCCGCATCCCAGCCGCCATTACTTTCCAGGCCTCAGGCTCCAGACCAGGATGGTTTCCAAACTGTTTGGATCTCTGTGACCCCCTCCCCTGCAGACAAGCCGCCCACCCCCACCCCCTTTCCGCGGAGGTCAATATTTCCTCTTAGATGCGGAGTGTGAGAGCAGAGGGGGTTATTTCTAGAATATGTCTGTCTACATTTCACTGTCGCACTGCGGGGGCTCCCACCCCCCACTTCAGGTCCAAAATTGGATGGAGAGCGCAGACGAGGGGCGTCGAGGAGGCGTCAGGGCCTGCTGCGAGATGCTCCCTCCTCACCTGCCCACGTCCGCGCCGCATCCCCCGCCTCCCCAACCTCCCGGGCCCCTCCCCACCCCGCGCTGCTCCCAGATCCTACTCCCATCCACCTCCACCCCTGCCCGGGCCGCCGGCAGCACCCACCTTTACACCGACCTGCGGGCCCGGCGCAGGCCTGCGCCTCTTTGGGCTCGCTGAAGCCCGCTGGCTCCTCGCCCGCCGCCCGGACAGCTCAAGGAGCTGGTTCCGCGCGGGCGACGGGAGCGGACAGCGCAGGGACCGGACAGCAGGGCAGGCGAGCAGGCGGCCGCGGGGGCTGCTGCCCACGTCGGCGCCCGGCCGGTCACGTGAGCCTCGCGTCACCCAAGCTCGGTCCCCCACCCCGCCCCCTCATCCTCATCCCCTAGGGACCGGGTAGCCACAGAAGATGGGGCAGGGTGGCAAAGAGGGGTCACCGAGAGAGCAGTCCAGAGGCTCCTCTACCGCAGGTGCTTTACCTGGCGCGCATCTCAGGTCCTCTCACAGCATCTCTCTGAGATGTACGTCATTGCCAGCTGTGACAGCTGATCGCAGGGAGGGTACCCAACTTTGCCAAGAGTGCTCAGCAACTGAATCCTACAAGCTGCTTTCAAGACTGGCTCTGCCTTATTCCAGGGCTCTAGTGGTAGTTTCCGCCAGGAAGCCGAGCTGCCTGCCACCTTGAGTAGCTGTGTTTCTGGGCTTCCTCGCTCCTCAGCCCACATGTTCTCTCTTCCTGAGTGATTTATGTTCATTTCCCTCTAAGCACAGATGATTCTCAAATCTCCATCAACAGACTATCCTCTCAGCCTAGACTTAGACCAGTTTTTTGGTTGCCACCAGCAGTATAGGAGAGTGCTTGTTTCTTCACACTTTTTTTTTTAAACATTTATTTATTTTTGAGAGACAGAGAGAGAGAATCCGAAACGGGCTCTGGGCTCTGAGCTGTCAGCACAGAGTCCAACGTGGGACTGGAACTCACAAGGGGTGAGACCTGAGCCTAAGTCGGCCATTTAACCGATTGAGCCACCCAGGCGCCCCTCTTCACACCTTTTCCAAAATGTGTTGGAATACTTTTTTCACTAACATGATAGGTGAGTAGTAGTGTCTCAATGGTATTTTACTTTGAATGTTTATTGACAGTTTTAATATTGTGAATTGTCTGTTCATTTCTTTTCTACATTTTTCTACTGGCTTGTTGGTACTTCTCCCCTCAGTTTTCAGTATTCTTTTCACATTAATTATATTAGGTCTTTACATTATATATGTCTCAAATATTTACTTCGAGCTTGTTAGCTGCTTTTCTTCTTTGTATATGGTGTATTTCTGCCATGCATAAAAATAGTCAAATTTATCAACTTTTATTTTATTGACTCTAGATTTTGATTAATAGTTAAGAATTCATTTCCTACATGAGGTCAGAGAGGAATTCATCAATTTTTTTTCTTTTTAGTACTTATTTAGTTAACTTTATCTTAAAAGCATCTATGGTTAGGAATGGAGGGTAACTGATACACCAGTGCCAAACTGAAGTGAATCTACTGCTGATTCAAGGCACTAGAGTAACAAAAATCAAAGCCCAAGGCTCATTACAAGGGGAGGAGTTTCCTAACAAACCATCACCCATATGATGCTGGGAACCTCAAATATTTCAGTTTAAAGGGTAATTGTAAACTGGAAATTACCTTCCATAAAGTCTTTTGGTTTGGCTGTGCAACATATAGGTGGATTAGTAAACTTGAAACTTTGAACAGATTATGGTGGTTCCAGCCAAGAAGAACCCTTATAAGCCCTGACCAAAGAAAACAAAATCTCTGGAGTAAACATACATCATAAGCCCCAAATTATTTCAACTAGCAATTGTTCATGTACAATGTCCACAAAGAGAGATAACCAGGAATATAAATTTAAAAAGGTATCATAAGTAAGAAGCAGTAGAGACAACAGCCAACACAAATCAGTTAGCCGTGAATTATCTGAATCATCAGATAAAGATTATTAAACCACAATGCTTAGTGAATTTAGAAAAAAAATCCAATCTTGAAAATTTCAACAGGAAGCTAGAAATCAGAAAAAGTGAAAAACGGGGAATTCTAAAACTACAAAAACACATAGCTGAAATTAGAATCTCAATGGATGGCTTTAATATCAGATTAGATGCAGCTCAAAGAGAATTAAAGAACTAGAAATTATGTTCAGAAAAAAACTATCCATAAGGCTGCATAGGTATTCAAAAAGATGGAAAACAGAGATTAGAGGACATGATTAAGATCTAACAAATGTTTACTTGGAGTTCCAGAAGGAAAAGAGAAATGGAAGTGTTCAGAGGCAACCTTTGAGGATACAACTGAGGATTTTTCAGAACTGATGAAAGACATTGATCCATAGATCTAAGTCCAAGAAATCCCAAACAGGATAAAAAGATAGTGCATCCCAAACAGGATGCACTATTATGCATCACACACAGATGCATAATAGTGAACTTGCAGAGAATCAAAGACAGAGATAAAATCATAAAAGTAGCCAGAAAAAATAGAGGAACAAAAATTGAAAGGAACAAAAATTAGGCTGATTGATGGCTTCTCAATAGGAACAAGAGAAGTATGAAAATGGTAGAATGATGGCTTTAGTGACTTAAAAGAAATGCCAGCCAAAAAATTGATAACCAGCAAAAATACCTTCAAAATTGAAGGTGAAATGAAGACCTTTACAAATAAACAAAAACAGAGTTTGCCATGCATGAACTAAAGAAAATATTGAATGATATAGGGCATGTTTCAGATAATAGGAAAATGATCCCAGATAGAATACTGAGGTAACAAAAAGAGAAAACCAGAAATTAAAATGACAAATATGTACGTAAATTTAAATCAATACTACATAAAAAATAGTAACATGTTGTTAATTCATATCGACAAATAACATGAGTCAAGAGAACTGCAATAAATGTATTTAAAATTCTGGCATTATTTGGGGAATCTATTAAAAGTACAAAATTAGTATTAGCCTTTGATAAGCCATGACTGTATCCTATAATTTCCAGAAAACCATTAAGGAAGAGTAAAAGTGTAAATCTTCTAAGCCAATAGAGAGGCAAAAATAAGAAAATAATCCTAAAGGTGAGAAAATTAACATAGATCAGAGAGGACACAGAGCGGGAACTTGATACAATGGTTAACTTATATCTATTAATATCAGTAAGTACATTACATGTAAGTGGTTTATATGATGCAATTAAAAGAAAGATTTTCAGACTGGAAAAAACACAGTAATATACTGTTTACAAAAGACATATCTGAAATATAAAAGTACATAGAGACTGAAAGTAAAGGTAGAAAAAATTGTATCATGAAAACACTAACCAAAAGAAAGTCATTGTAGTTAAATAACAAAATAGACTTTAAAGCAAAAAGCATTACAAAACATAAGAAGTATTACTTTATGATATTTTTAAAAAATTTATAATATTTATTTTTAAGACAGAGATAAGAGTGGGGGAGGGGCAGGGAGCATGAGATAGAGGATCTGAAACAGGCTCCATGCTGACAGCAGAGAGCCCGATGCAGGGCTCGAACCCATGAACCATGAAATCATGACCTGAGCTCAAGTTGGACACTAAACCAATTGAGCCACCCTGATTTTTTTTTTTTACAAATAGTTTATTGTCAAATTAGTTTCCACATAACACCCAGTGCTCATCCCCACGAGTGCCCTCCTCCATGCCCCTCCCCCTCCCCCCTACATCCATCAGTTCTCAGTTTTTGTCATCATTCAAGAGTCTCTCATGGTTTGCCTCTCTCCCTTTCCCCCACCATTTCCCCCCTTCTTCTCCCCCTTGGTCCTCCATCAAGTTCCTCCTAATCCTCCTATACGTGCAAACATATGATATTTGTCCTTCTCTGCCTGACTTATTTCACTCGGCATAACACCCTCAAGGTCCATCCATGTTGCTACACAAGGCCAGATTTCATTCTGATATTTTAAAACTTGTATGCACTTGGGAATGAAAACTGGTGCAGCCACTCTGGAAAACAGTATGGAGGTTCCTCAAAAGGTTAAAAATAGAACTACCCTATGACCCAGCAACTGCACGAATAGGTATTTACCCAAAGGATACAAAAATACAGATTTAAAAAGGTACATGAATCCAGATGTTTATAGCAGCATTATCAATAGCCAACTTATGGAAAAAGGCCAAATGTCCATCGACTGATGAATGGATAAGAAAAAAAGGGGTGCTTGGGTGGCTTAGTCGGTTAAGCGTCCAAAATCAGCTCGGGTCATGATCTTGCAGTTCGTGGGTTTGAGTCCTGCATCAGGCTCTGTGCTTGGAGCCTGGAGACGTCGTAGAATTCTGTATTTCCCTCTCTCTCTGCCCCTCCCTGCACATGCTCTGTCTCTCTCTTCCTCAAAATAAATAAACATTTTAAAAAGTTATAAAAAAAATATGGTAAACACACACACACACAGTGGAATTTATTCAGCCATCAAAAGGAATGAAATCTTGCCATTTGCAATGATGTGGATGGAGCCAGAGTATATTATGCTATGCAAAGTAAGTCAGTCAGAGAAAGAAATAACCATGATTCACTCATATGTAGAATTTAAGAAATGGAACAGATGAACATAGGGGAAGGGGGAAAAAAAGAGAGGGAAGCAAACCCTAAGAGTCTCTTAACTAAAGAGGACAAACTGAGGGTTGCTGGAGGGGACATGGGCAGGGGATGGGCTAAATGGGTGATGGGTATAAGGAAAGCACTTGTGATGAGCACTGGGTATTATATTTAAGTGATGAATCACTAACTTCTACTCTTGAAAGGAAATAATAAAATAAAAAATAAAACTTGTATGCTTATTAAATTGACCTGAAAATAAATAAATCAAAATCTGACAGAACTACAAGGAGAAATAAATCGTCCATTTTAGCATTTAATACTCCTATCTCTGTAACTGTGGAAACATTTAAAGTGTTGAAAGAAAAAACCCACCAAACTAAAATTCTATGTCCAACAAAATTATCCTTCAAAGGTGAAGGAGAAATAAAGACTTTCTCAGACAAACAAAAACTGATGACCAGCAAACCTTCCCTTAAAGAAATGTTAAAAGATTCCAGGGAGAAGAAAATTGATATAGGTCAGCAACTCAAATCTTCCTAAAAATTAGTGGAAGAGGAAAAAAATGAAAGTAAAATGAAACTTTTTTATTCTTAAATATATAAAAATGTCTAAAGTAATAATATTAACAATATATTGACTGATTATAACATATGGATAAATAAAATGAACACTCTGTAATAAGGTGCCTATACTACACATAAATGAGGCAGAAGAATGTTCTTTGAAACTGATCCTAGTTAAAAATGTGTTTTGTAAACTTGAGGGAAATAACTAAAAAATATTTTTTAAAGAAATATAATTGATACACTAAGAGAGAAGACAAATGGAATTACGTAAAATACTCAAAACCAGAGAAGGCAGAAAAAGAAATCTCAGAAATAAATAGAAAAGTTGTAAACATGGCTGATATTAATCCAATTACATATCAATAATCATTTTTTAATTTAATTTTCTTTGAGAGGGAGCATGGGAGGGGAAATGGGAGAGGGAGAATCTTAAGCAGGCTCCACACTCAGCACAGAGCCTGACGTAGGGCTCAGTCTCACAACTGTGAGATCATGAACTGAGCCAAAATCAAAAGTTGGACACTTAACTGAGCCACCCAGGCACCCGTGGACCTTTTTAAAAAGTAAACTCTATGCCCAGCATGGGGCTTGAACTCATGACCCTAATATCAAGAATCTCATGAACTACCAACTCAGCCAGCCGGGCACCCTAATAGCATGTACCCTTTATATGATGTGGTGAGTATGGCACTTACCTCTATGGTCCTCTTCCCAAAAGCACTTAATCCATGTGTAGTAAGAAAAAAAGTCAAGCTTATTTAAATTGTGAGACATTATACAAAATACCTGACCAGTACTTCTTAAAAGTGTCAAGGACATCAAAAACAGGGGAAGTCAGAGAAACCGTCACAGCCAAAAGGAGCATATGGAGACATGACTAAATATAAGAGGTAACCTGGATAGGATCCTGGAACAGAAAAAGGACATTAGGGAAAAATGGAGGGAATTTAAATAAAGTATGTACTTCGGTAAATAACAATGTATCAATATTGGTTTATTGTGACAAATGTAGCATACTAACATGTTAATAGAGGATACTGGGTATGGGGTATACAGAAACTCCGTACTATCTTTGCAATAATTCTATAAATCTACAATTGTCCTAAGATAAAAATTTATTTAAAAAGCACTAAAAGCAAATAAAAGGCTAATGAAGATCGGGGGGGGGGGGCGGGGAGTAGGAATCATATAGGTAGATGGATCTGTTAAATGTAAGGCAGGGCTTAACAGGAATTCCCTGAGAGACAATTCCTCCTAAGAAAAAAGTGTCAGCAGACAAGAGATTAACAGGTGAGAATAGCACAGCATCTGGTCACTCAGATTTTTGTGGCTCAAGCTCCAGTATCTAAATCCAGTGGAGATGGCTGTATGCAAATACACAAACCAACAAAAGTTCTGTAAAGGAATGTTTTATAAAAAATCCTTATAAAATATCAAGGCCCAAGTAACAATTGGATACTACCCACCTGAATTAGGCTAACTGTTGTAGGTAGAGAAGAATTCTCCACCTTTCTGTTGAGATAGTGTTGCCTTAGTCCATCATGGTCTCCAACCACGGGGCTTCAGGAGGGTACAGAGCCCCTGAAAAGGGGCACAGTGCCCAAGACACATGGCATTACCCAGGGGAGAGTGGCACTCCACCTTCTACCTGTCTGACTTATTCCTGGACGCAAGTGAGATCTCCCTCATCCTTTCCCCAAACATCTGACACAGGTTTGGTTCTGCTAATGCAGGGCAAAGGTTAGGAGCCAGCCCAACAGAGCTCACACACTCATTACTTCATCTGATCTTCTTCACAGCCTTAGAAGGCAAGTTTTACCCCATTTGACAGATGACAAGACTGTCTCTTACAGCAATGGATCTGTAGTAACAGCCAGGTTGAGTCTTCCAGCTTCCAGTCCCAAATGTAATAGGAGTTTTACAAAACATTTTACATCCTGACCAAGAATTTTAGGTGTCTCCACTGCATTCATAAGCTAACCCAACAGTTATTCTGGTTGCTGGGTTATACACTGTTTTCCTACTTTTTATATTTGTTTTCATGATGAAAGTAATCTGTGCTTTTAGGACAAAATATACAATGGATAAAAAAAGAACAGAAAAACAAGATCACCCACAAATAACCAGGACACAGCTTTCAGAGTTTTCTCTGCACACAGATCACTATGTAAATACCTCTGTAGTTTTACAAAAATGGACTGATGTCATATGTATGGTTCATCAAACTTTTTCTTTTTAATTTTACAATGTGCCACAAACATTTTTCCATGCAATGGACAAAAATCTGCTACTGAAACATCGCGAGCTGCAGTTGGGTAATAGTGATTGCTAAAGCAAGTATTAGCATAAGGTTAAAGCACATGGCCTGTCAAATGCCTACCAGGGGCACTACACAAAAGGAATGTCTTCAAAGCCCCTTTGTGGGGCCCTGCAGCCACCCCTGAGTTCCCTTGGGCTCCTCTGGTGGAAGGGGTCCTGTAAACTTTTTTGCATCCACATAAATCCCCCCAATTTCTGTCTGGTTTTCTTCACCTCATCCTCCACCCTGGCCATTTCATCAAACTCTCTTATCATCTCCTCATTGCTCAAATGCATATCATGGATGGCCTCCTTATATTCCTTGAGGCACTGAGCCAGCTCCTTGTTGGTTTTTCTTTTGGCTTTCCTGGGTACATCATCCCCAGCTGGGCGCTTTCCGGCAGCCCTTGGTTCACTGGCTGGTTTTTCTTCTTTTGGTTTTTCCTCATTCACTGGCTTTCCCTCACTCTCTGATTTTTCTTCTTTTGGCTTTCCCTCACTCACTGGTTTTCCTTCTTTCAGCTCTCCCTTGTTCATTGGTTGTCCCTCGCTCTCAGGCTTTCCCTCACTCTCTGGCTTTCCCTCGCTCTCTGGCTTTCCTTCGCTCTCTGGCTTTCCCTCACTTTCTGGCTTTCCCTCGCTCTCTGGCTTTCCGTCTTTTGGCTTTGTCATACTCTCTGTTTTTTCCTTATCCTTTAGTATTTCCTCATCTTCTCTCTTGCTCTCATTTTCTAACTTTTCCTTGTTGTCCAAAGTACAAGCTACTTCTGGCTTTCCCGCATCTTGTGGCTGTTCTTTGTATTCCATCTCTCCTTGGTTCTCAGATATTCCTTCATTTTCACTGCAGAGTTTTTCCATGTTGAGATTTCCCCTCCTTTTCCTGTCCTGGGGTGGGGAGGAAGAGGAGACAAAGAGGAGACAAGGAACACTGAGGGCTTGGGGGTGGAAGGTACATCAGAACAGTACTGGCACCTCTCCCCTAGTCAGGGTTCCCCTGACCTGGCCTGGCCCCTAAGTGTGTTTTCTGCCCATCCTCTCCCCTCACACACGTGAACCAGACCATTTATCAGGCAGGCCCTGCCATTTTCTCTATGTCTGCTTAGCACTGCAAAGTGTGTATAAATGTGTTAGGAGGTGGGAAGTGGCACCCGATATTCTGCTGGTGCTACACCCTCCATGCTACCCATCCCTCTGTGGGTCCCTATCCATAGACCCCCTTCCTTCACTGACCTGCACGGATTCTGAAGATTCCTCCTCCTTTTCTAGCCTTGCAAAGTGCTGACAACAGACACGCAGACCTGCAGACAGACAGGAGACAGGGGCTGCGCGTTTGGTGGATGCTTAGGGACTCAGTCCCCTTCCTGAATCCCGGCCCTCCTCATCCTACATTTCCCTCCCCCACCTCCTCCGCCCTCCGCCCCCCAGCCGCCATTTCTTTTCACGCCTCCGGCGCCAGACCAGGACGTTTTCCAAACTAATTTTGGATCTCTGTGTCCTTCTTCCCCGGAGACAACTCGCATCCCCACCCTCGAGGTTAACTTTTTTTTTCTCTACACATGGACTGGTAGAAGGGGTTTATTTCCACTGTCTTGCTGCCAGGGCGCCCCCCAGCTCACAGCTCCGATTCCAAAATGGACGGAGGGCAACGAGAAGGAGGTGCAGAGAAACTGGACACGGGTACTAGGGGTGTCCGCTATCCCCACCCTCTGCCTATTGGACGTTAGCTCCCTTTAGCCATTTTCCCACCGCCATCTCTAACTACACTCTCCGGCCAGCTTCCCTCGACCCAGACCCCATCACCGCGTTTTTTCCTGGGTGTTCCTGCCTCGCTCCCCTTCCAGGGTTCCGCAGCCAGCGACGAAGGGCCTCACACTGACCTGAAAGAACCTGGAGCAACAATTAAGAGCTCGCAGATCGCTCCGGATCCGACCGCAGGGGAAGAGGGCGGGCTCCCAGACTGGTGCCCACTTCTGCTCGGGGGAGGGGGGCGGCGGTCACGTGAGCATCGCGTCACTCAAGTTCGTCCCCCCCCGCCCTCCCTCGACCCCGCCCACCAGCCGCGTCTGCCAGTCACCCCACCAACTCTCTGGAGAGCGTCCCCTCTCACCTCTCTGCAGGGACGAGGGGGAGGCTTTTGTCCTTTTTCTCTCCTAGAGGTAGTCGAAGGGATAATTTTAATAAAAACCACAGTGGCTTTTTAAAAACGGGTTGGGCAGTTCGGGGGAGGAGTCTTGACCATGTTGCTCTTAATTTCCATTGAAAGAATGTAGAGCCAGCCAATGAAATCCTATGAATGTGAACTTTAATGTCATGCATAGAATACTGCACTTTAGGAAAAATATTCCCCTCAAAATGAAATTGTCCCTTTTCCTGACATGCGCAAATATAACTGTTTTCTTTTTTTATCTCACATTATCACAGAAAGAAGGTGAATACTGTATGAGATATTTTGAGAGACCACATTACATTCACATTACCTTTATACTAGTACATTGTTATTTATAATTGTTTTATTTTATTATTAGTCATTGTTAGTCTCTTACAGTGCTTACTTTAGAATTGAACTTTATCATAGATATGTATGTATAGGAAAGAACATAGGATTTCCTACTATCTGTAGTTTCAGGCATCCACTGAGGATCTTGGAACATAATCCTCTTCAGATAAAGGGGACTACTGTAGCTGCATTCCTTTTTATTTGATTTTATTGACATTTGTATATATTTTAAACCTTTTTTGTTAATTTATTCTTTTTTAAAATTTACATCCAAGTAGTTAATATATAGTGCAATAATGATTTCAGGAATAGAATCCAGTGATTCATCACCTACACATAACACCCAGTGCCCATCCCAAGTGTCCTCCTTAAAGCTCCTTGCCCAATTAGCCCGCCTCCCCACCCAAAACCCCGTCAGCAATCCTCAGTTTATTCTCTGTATTTAAGAGTCTTTTAAGGTTTGTCCAGCTCCCTGTTTTTATATTATTTTTGCTTCCCTTCCCTTATGATCATCTATTTTGTATCTTAAATTCCACATATGAGTGAAGACATATGATATTTGTCTTTCTCTAATTTCACTTAGCAAAATACTTTCTAGTTCCATCCACGTTGTTGCAGATGGCAAGATTTCATTCTTTCTGAGTGCCAAGTAATACTCCAGTGTGTGTGTGTGTGTGTGTGTGTGTGTGTACCACATCTTCTTTATCCATTCATCTGTCGATGGACACTTGGGCTCTTTCTGTAATTTGGCTGTTGTCAATAGCATTGTTGTAAACGTTGGGGTTCATGTGCTCCTTCAAAATAGCATGCCTCTATCCTTTGGATAAATACCTAGTGGTACAATTGCTGGGTTGTAGGGTAGTTTTATTTTTTATTTTTTGATGAACCTCCATACTGTTTTCCAGACTGGGTGTACTGGTTTGGATTCCCACCAATAGTGCAAAAGGGTTCCTCTGTCTCCACATCCTCACCAACATCTGTTGTTGCCTGAGTTGTTAATGTTAGCCTTTCTGACTGGTGTGAGGTGTGTCTCGTTGTGGTTTTGATTTGTATTTCCCTGATGATGAGTGAAAACATACATTTTCTAATTAATTATTTAAATCTAAAAATAAAATTATATTAGATGCAGAATAGAAGAACAATTTTTTTATAAGTGAGAGACTGAATATTCAACGGACAATGACCTGACCATACATGACAATAGAACTGGGACCCACAACCTCGCAGTAAGCACCCCAGGAAGCCAAACCCCAGCTTCCAAAGCAATCTTCAGGACTTGATCAATGACTGCCAGCCTCCCTATTTCCCCCTCCCCACCAAGAAAAATACGAATATGCTCCTCAAACCAATCAAATAAAATGCCCTGTTTTAGTTAGCCTGCTTCCAGCTTTCCCATGCCAACACCTTCCAATCAAAGAATATCTAAAGTCTTCCCTTTTGTTCACTGTAATGCTTTTTCACACATTAGAGACTTTTAGTTTCTGCCAAACATAAGTAATGGTGGCTGACACCTTTGTTCTAACAACCTCTGAATAAGTAGCCTCTATTTCCATTTAAGCTTTTTGTGTGGAAGGCCTTTAAAAATATAATAACAGTGGCTTCTGGGTGGCTCAGTTGGTTAAGCATCTGATTCTAGATTTCGGCTCAGGTCATGATCTCATGACTCCTGGGATCTAGCCCAATGTCTAGCTGACATTGATCTAGTTGACAGTGGGGATCTTACTTGGGATTCTCTCTCTTCCTCTCTCTCTGCCCCTCCCCCCTCAAAATAAATAAATTTAAAAGAATAAAAATATAATAACAAAGGCATAAACAGTTAAGGAAAACTTTAACCTTATAAGGTTAACAATCAAGGAAAACCTTGATAGATTTGACCACCTGAAAATGTGCACTAGTTTCATGAGGGCTTAGGGACACATGCACTCTTCCCTGCTCTTGTTGAGTGTAATGGTAAAAAACGTTCCAAAGAGCAACTTGGTAAATTGTTTAAAAATAAAAATGTTTGGGGTATTTCGGTGACTCAGTCAGTTGAGCCTCCAACTTCAGCTTAGGTCATGATCTCGCAGTTAGTGATTTCGAGCCCCATGTCAGGTTCTGTGCTGTTAGCTCAGAGCCTGGAGCCTGCTTTGGATTCTATGTCTCCCTCTCTCTCTGCCATTTCCTGCTCATGCTGTCTCTCTTCCTCTCTCTCAAAAATAAATAAACATTAAAAAAATGTAAAACTTCTGTGATTCAAAAGGCAACATCAAGAAATTGAAGAGACAACTCACCAAATGGAAGACAATTTTTGAAAGTAACATAACTGATAAGGAACTTATATCTAGAACATATAAAGACCTGTTGCAACTCAATAAAAAAACCCAGATAACCCAATTTTACATTGGGTGTTTTCAGGCTTTTTAAAATTGAAATATATTTGGGGGTGCCTGGATGGCTCAAGTTATGAAAAGTTTAAGGCTTCTTGATACACATAAGCTAAAAATTAACTATGTTCTTAATTATAAAAGTTTCAGAAAAACATAAACATATATAATGTAGAAAATAGATCTGTATGCTGAATATTATTAAATTTTTCTATGCTTAATTCATACACACAGTTTCTATTTTAATGGAATTATACCATGTATATTATTCTGCTACTTGATTTTTCTACTTAAAAGTACATTCTCAAGCACATACCCATGTCAGTATAGATAGAACTACTTATGCATTTTAATGGTTGCATCTTATTCTACTCTATTTTTAATTAATTAATTTTTTTGAGAGCAGGAGAGCACAGGTGAGTGAGGAACAAAGAGAGAGAGAGAGAGAGAGAGAGAGAGAAGCAGGGCTCATCTGATGCAGGGCTCAAGCTCACTCAGTGCAGGTCTGGAACTCACGAACCGTGAGATCATGACCTGAGCAGAAGTCAGATGTTCAACCAACTGAGCCATCCAAATGCCCCATACTCTATTTTTTTAATGTTATTTATTTATTTTTGAGAGACAGTGAGAGCACAAGTGGGTGAGGGGCAGAGAGAGAGGAAGAGAGAGAATCCCAAGCAGGTTCTGTACTGTTCACAGAGCTCGATGTGGTGCTCGAACTCATGAACTGTGAGAACATGACCTGATCTGAAATGAAGAGTCAGATGTTTAACCCATTGAGCCACTGAGCCATCTCTCTACTCTTTAGATTTAGCATATTTTATTTAATCAACCCCCAATGATTAACATTAAAAATATTCCATACTTTCACTACTAACTTACAGTTATTGAATGAATAAGTCATGGGAATAAAAGGTACAGCATAGGGAATAGTCAATGGTTTTACAATAGCATTGTTTGGTGACAGATGGTAGCTTACACTTGTAGTGAGCATAGCATAAAGTGTAGAGTTGTTGAATCACTATGTGATTCTGAACCTGAAACTAATATATCATTGTGTCAACTATATTCAAATAAAAATAATGACTTTTTATCTCATGACTTTTTTTATCTCATGGCTTTTTTCAGATATATATTTCATATTAATTTACAATTTAGCTTTATTTTTTAATGTTTATTTATTTTTCATAGGGAGAGAGCGCACGAGCAGGGGAGGGTATAGGGAGAGGGAGACAGAGAATCTCAAGCAAGCTCTGCACTGTCAGCACAGAGCACAATGCAGAGCTCAAACTCATAAACCAGGAGATAATGACCTTAGCTGAAATCAAGAGTTGGACACTTAACTGACTGAGCCACCCAGGCGCCCCTACAATTTAGCTTTATATGATATAATGGGTATTTTATTATAAGTTTTACATTATTTAAAAGAAATATATTAATTTTTAAATATTTAATACAGCAAATATTGACAGACATACCTACATAAAAAAGTTTTAACTCCATAACTCTTTTTTGGTTTGTTTTTAGAGAGCGAGAGAGAGAGAGTGCGAGGAGGGGAGAAGGGCAGAGGGAGAGAGAGAATCCCAAGCAGGCTCCCGATCCAGGGCTCCATCCCATGACCCTGGGATTATGACCTAAGCCAAAATCAAGATCAGGACGCTCAACTAACTGAGCCAGCCAGGCGCCCTAAACTTCATAATATATATTTTTTATTTTTTAAAGTTTGTTTATTTTGAGAGAGAGAGAGAGAGTTGGGGTGGGGAGGGATAGAGAGTCGCAAGCAGGCTCCACATTGTCAGCACAGAGCCCGATGCAGGGCTTGAACCCACAAACCATGAGATCATTATCTGAGCCGAAGTCAGACACTTAACTGACTGAGCAACCCTGGCACACCAAAAATCCGTAATTTTTTTTAATCATTAAGAAAATTTTTAAGCGTTTTATTTATTTTTGAGAGAGACAGAGTCCGAGTGGGGGAGGGGCAGAGAGAGAGGGAGACACAGAATCCAAAGCAAGCTCCAGGCTCTGAGCTGTCAGCACAGAGCCCAATGTGGGGCTCAAACTTGTCAACCAGGAGATCATGACCTGAGCTGAAATCAGACGCTTAGCCCACTGTGT